AAGCCAAACTCAAGCCAAACTTGTTTTCCAATGTACACACAGCTGTGACAAAACTACTGCAGTCAGTGCAGTTACTGAGTGCAAAGTATTGCACATTTTCCTGAGCTGTTATGTCATGATATCAGTTTATATAATCACTGGCCTGCCCTAAACAGCAGTTGTCAATAGACATTTTTATACTGTACTGTTTTTTTTCAATCAGAAATGTGCAGGATTTAGAACTGTGAATGTGTCTAATAAGAAAGATGTCAGGTTTTTCCTGTTCCTACTGGTTAGAAGATGAAGTCATCATTACTTCACTCAAAAACTCAAATATGTGCAACCAGAATGACTTCAATGACAAGGCACTGTCATGCAAAACGCCTCTGATGTAAGTCACATGACAGTTTTTAAAAATACTTTTATCATGTCTGACACATAAAATGCCTAATGTCTAAACATGATTGAGAGCCGAGGGTCATATGTAAATGTATTAAAATGTAAATGTAAATATAATGTATTGAATAAATTAATAATTGATTAATACATTAATAAGTTATATATCTTATTCATATCTTATATATATCTTATATATAATATATATATATCAGATATTCTTCTGGTGTCTCTGTAATGTATGTCTAGCGTTTCACAGGATGCAGTCAAACTGGCACCAGCTTTATATAAAACACATAAAAATTACACCACACAACTTTACAATTACCTGGAAACAACTGGACCACAGCAAAGCATTGCGTGTATGTCAGGCCTGTCTCAGCATGGTCTGGCTCTTTGATGTAGTAAAGAGGCCTTGGGGTCGGGAGTCTGTTCATCACAGGGAGACCACAAGTCCATATTTTACAATTTTAAACGGTGCAGAGGCCATAACTGAAAGAAACAGAAGTACTGAACATATAATGTATCAAATAAAATTAATGTATATCTTGTAATGTTTCAAAAATGAGAAAACTAACAAAGAAGAAACATTTCCTTTACAGTGTTGAAAAAAAAACTTAAAGCAAATATTTGCATATTTTAAGCGTTAAGCAAAAATATCACTAATTACCCAGATTGTTTGGTAACAGATCTTAGTCAGCGCCATATTTAATTTGTTGACTGGAATGAACAGTACAGTGTAGGCTATTCACTGTTGCAGTTTACTCTTGTTTATCAACATACCAATTGTTCAGCAAAGCAACATCTTGAGTTGGCAAAAATTTAGCGATCTATAACCTTTATCCACATTTTTCCTACACCCCATGATGCTTTGCGCAAATTATGGGAGTAACTTCCATGTGCACTGTAAACAATCAGCAAAAGGTTCGCTCTATGAATGCAATAATAAGCATTTTCAAAAATTGGGTACAATGAGGTGACATTGTTTTACTCACCCTTCAACCATCGATCATTAAAAGGAAATTTAAAAGTGTAACAAATTACTTTCAACTTACCATGAATAACTCCTAAAGATCCTCTTTCTATCCACTGCAATATTACGGACATGTTAAATATCATTATAGTAATATGTCTATATTTCCTAACAATTACGTTTTACAGCATCTGTGTGAAAACAAACCTGGAATGAGACATGAGGATTTGAGGAGAAAAATTAAAGATTCTTAGTGCATTCCAGGGAAATATTCATGGTTTATATCCTAAATTAAATCGTGAGAGCAGACCACAAAATGCAGAGTATATGTTGTCTTTTTTCATGTACTTACAGCGGAATACAAAAGAATCGTGAAAATAATCAGGAGGAAAATAATGCAGTGGGCTGAAAAGAGCAATTCTATAGGCTATATATTGTTGTTATATCCCGTCACATTAAAATACCAAACGTAACGTTATTGTCCTGACTTCTGAAAACAGAAAAGGAATGAAAATACAGCCCATTCAGTCAAAATTACGGATAAGGATTATTTGTAGCGCAATCTTATGATTTATTCATGCAGTCAGAGTTGTTTACACTGTTAAAGAGTTGGATTCTCATTCTAAGCATGGACAAAATTACATACAGAAGAATAAGCATACATCACATAATATCAACCACAAAAATAAATAAATAAATAAAGCCATCATCTAAAAATGTCTGTGTTTTGTTGGCATTCGGCGCTCAAGTGCTCGTCACTCTTTAGCTCCGCCCACGGCGCGCCTCCAGGAGCTCGGCTGTTTCCGAGAAAATTGTAAAGCTGTATCTTTCTTTTATAAATATGATAAAACTAAAGACTTTTTGGAGATATGAAGGATGCAGTACTACTCTATAGGTACTCAAGATTAACATGAGATTGGGTGAAACTGTGTGTGTTATGTCCCCTTTAAAACTCAGTAGGCTCGTTATGAAAAAAGTGGATACGGCGCATGCCGTTGTAAAAACTGTGATCCTCACAGCCTCGTTTTCATCCGCGTTAAATTCAATATGGCGTCTAACCTGATTAAGGTCTGTAAAAGCAAAAATGTTACACGCATATGTAAGTAAGTAAGTAAATAAATAAGTGTGTAGAGGTGTGGCGTGTGTCAAGCTTGGCGACAGATTCGATTTTTTGATAGAGGCCTTGTTTTTTTATTTTTCCCCCTACTGTTATAAAAATAATGTGATCCTCACAGCCTCGTTTCCATCCGCGTTAAATTCAATATGGCGTCTAACCTGATTAAGGTCTGTAAAAGCAAAAATGTTACACGCATATGTAAGTAAGTAAGTACATAAATAAGTGTGTAGAGGTGTGGCGTGTGTCAAGCTTGGAGACAGATTCGATTTTTTGATAGAGGCCTTGTTTTTTTATTTTTCACCCTACTGTTATAAAAATAAAAATCAATGAAACTACACTATCCTTAACCCGTAAAAACGTCAAACAAAAACGAGCAAAAACAAAACGCTCATGTCACTCACTGCCACGTCGACAGTAGGCTACGCAATATTTTAATAACAATAATAATTAAACATTATAAAACTACAATAATAATAATAATAATATTAATTTATTATTATTATTATTATTATAAAACTACAATATTTGCGTATTGCGTATACAGCAGCCTCTCTTTTATCAATTGCGTATGTAGGCCTATCAGTTTCCCTAATTTTAAAGCATAGTGAATGAAAAGCAATTAATAGTCAAGCATAGCCTACATGTGAACACATTATACACTTTAAAAAGCATCTCTTCATGCAACTTAAGTTCGTTGAGACAAATAGCTTTGATGACTTCTATTTTTAAATCAATGTGTAAATCAATTTAAATCCAATGTGTAAAATAATGATCAGTAATAAAAAGTCAGTATTTGTGCACATATAGCCAATTGTTGATGTACATGCACAGTGTCTTTAAAAAAATTACTGTTATTTTATTCTTTATAATATAATGTATAATATGTAATATAATATATAATTTGAGCTTGTTTTAAGTCTCGGTTGCTGTAAAGAGTCAGTCTTCCTCTGACAAGTAATTTGAAAACGGGACGTGATCTGCGCAGAAGTGCTCGTGCGCTGTCCGTGGTACTGAACACACGAGAAGCCGCTGCTTTCAGTCGGCGTTCTTACTTTTTATAAGAATTTCGTTTTTTTATTAATATGCATGTGTTTTTATAACCTTTTTACATTTTGTTAGTTAAATTAACTATAATAATATTTTAAATTTATTTTAATATAGGCCTACGTGTTAAACAGACTTCCAAATAGCCTCAAAAAGTGTATCAATTATGAAGCGAATTTTTAAAAAGACTCACTCGGAACACATAACTGAGCTATTTACCTGTTTAAGCACAATTTGAAATTGTGCATCATCTTTGTGAAAACAGTGGATCGTGACCATCATGATGTTTCAAACATTGTGACATTTAGTCCTTCTGTAGGAAAAATACAAATGTATATATTTTTTGTTGTTGTTGTTGTTGGACAACGACATGCTTTTTAAATTATAACTGCATTTAATAATGAATTATATTTCCAATAAGAAGATAAAATTGTATCTATACTTACATTTGTAACATTTCGGCATCCCAAGTATAGGGCCTAGCCTTTGACTGCAAATACAAAATACGAACGACAAAAATTGCAGAATTAAAAGCGAATGAATTCAGGACTTCATTTCGCTTTTATTAATTAATGCGAGTGTCACATATTATAATTTAGTGCTAGAAGATAAAATTGTATCTATACTTACATTTGTAACATTTCGGCATCCCAAGTATAGGGCCTAGCCTTTGACTGCAAATACAAAATACGAACGACAAAAATTGCAGAATTAAAAACGAATGAATTCAGGACTTCATTTCGCTTTTATTAATTAATGCGAGTGTACATATTATAATTTAGTGCTGGTTGGGAATGGGGTCCTCCTAGTGGCAACAGGTGAAAACAACGAAAGAGGAAAATACTATCAAAAAATCTCCATCATTACACAATTTTCCGTCACATGTTAGCTTATCTATTTTATTTTCCACAATGGTGAAGCATAACGGAAATATGGGCTATTATTTTCCTGTCAAACATTAGTTCCTTATGAAAGGTAAGGTTTGATCCATTGTCTCATGCATCACATGATCTGTTCTCACGCACATATCTGAAGTTGGAAATACAAAACATAACCGTTTTGAGTCAAGCAAAAAATGCTGTTCATGAGTAATAGGCATCATATGACAGATCCTTTACTGTATAACTCTTTTGTTCTGTTTCTATTTGCTGCATGGACCTATTTATTAAAATGAGGACGAATTAATTTATATATTAAAGGATATAAGTAGCCTACATATATGATATCAACCAGGTATCTGCAACTGTATGAGGTAATCTGTTTATATGGAGAAAATCAAAATAAAGTGAGGGAAACTATGTATATATTATTACTAATCCCCTTTCACTGGACAACTTTAAACTATTAAACACACTTTGAACAATATTTTACATTACCAAATAAACGTTTTGCATTGTAAATAATAAATATATAACATTTTTTCCACAGACAGATGACATAGATATGACATGCGATCACATATATCCTATACAACAGTAGAAGTCACGCGTTCAGAGAGAGAGAGAGAGAGAGAAGTGTGTAAAGGAGGAGACTCTCAGTAGTGTTATTTAGTCGTGGATACATTCTTGGATGAATGCACCTTAGACCGACCATCACTTATGCTCTGATTTCATATGAATCAGTCAGACACGCCGCGAGCGCTGGAAACTTCAACCCTGAGATCTGATGCTCAACAGGTTAATTGAGTTTGATCACTTCAAGAGTTGATCTGCACTGATTGTGAGGCTTGCAGATACATCGATGATGGATTTCCTGGCGGTTCTGGGCGATTTCATTCAGCTGTTCGCGCGGAGTGTTTTACTGTCGCTGCTGGTGTGTTTAACGCTCATGCTCTGGCGTCGTTCCGGTCGGCGGCAGCTACCGGGTCCGTTCTCTTGGCCGGTCATCGGTAACGCCGCTCAGCTCGGTACCTCACCTCACTTTTACTTCACCCGGATGGCTCAGAAATACGGCGACGTGTTTCAGATCAAGCTGGGCAACCGAAACGTGGTGGTTCTGAACGGAGACGCAATTAAAGAGGCGCTAATTAAAAAAGCTGTCGATTTCGCCGGCAGACCCGATTTCGCTTCGTTCCGGGTCGTGTCCAATGGGAAAAGCATGGCGTTCGGTAACTACAGCCAGTGGTGGAAACTGCATCGGAAGATCGCGCACAGCACCGTGAGAAACTTCTCCACAGCCAACATCCACACCAAGCAGACGTTTGAGAAGCACATCGTGTGCGAGATCGGAGAGCTCATCCGCTTGTTTCTGAATAAAACCCGCGAGCAGCAGTACTTCGAGCCTCACCGGTATTTGGTGGTGTCGGTGGCGAACACAATGAGCGCCGTTTGCTTCGGGAACCGGTATTCGTATGATGATGAGGAATTCCAGCAGGTGGTGGGCAGAAATGATCAATTCACTAAGACAGTCGGAGCTGGAAGCATCGTGGATGTGATGCCTTGGCTGCAGTACTTCCCAAACCCAATCAAAACGCTCTTTGACCAGTTTAACGCGCTCAACAAGGAGTTTAACGAGTTCATTTATTCCAAAGTGGCGGAGCACCGCAAGACTCTTTTACTGAGCCTCGTCCGTGACATGACTGACGCGTTCATCGTTGCTCTGGATAAAGGGCTGTCAGGGGCACCGGGGGTCTTTCTGGATAAAGAATACGTGCCACCGACCATCGCGGACATTTTTGGGGCCAGTCAAGACACTCTATCTACGGCTCTACAGTGGATCATTCTGTTACTAGTCAGGTAATGCGTTTTGTCCACCATAAATTTACATCTTAGGGGGTGACGTCATTTACTCACCCTCAAGTCGTTCGAATGATTATTTCATTTTAATACACTAGAAGTGGATCAAAACCTTTCATCAAGTTGCCCTAAAACCCAAAATGCGTTCTTGTCTTAGGAAAACGCTGCTCATTGGTCCATGATTTATACTGTGAAGGGGAGGGTGGTTAAGCATATCAAATTTACAGTCTAACTGTAAAACAGACCAATAATAATGATGACTCATTTTACACTGAGGGGCATATCCTTAATTGTATGCTCTCTAGAATAATTACGCTTTTATGTTTTCTTTTTTTTTTTTTTTTTTTTTTTTTGAACACCATAAATCAGCACTTTCATCGCATGAAAAAGAGCCGCTGCAATACATCATCTTTTGTGTTGCCCAGAAGAAAGTAAATATATGGGTTTGGAATGACATGAAGATGAGCGAATGATGCCAGCATTGTAATTTCTTTGCACTTTTAGTGTGCAATGCGGCAACTCTGAGATTGTCCGCAAGAGATGGACGGATCTCAATAACACCAAAGAGCTCTCATGTGTTATGTAACTCTTCCGTGCAGGTATTAGCAGCAACTAATGAGGGCAGGTTCCAGCAACACAAAATGAAATCTGACCCACTAAAACTTTTAAACGTAGGCCACTCTGTGAAACTCAAACACAATAACTGCTTCATGTAGGCTACTAGCACAGATGAGATAAGGTTTATTTATAAATAGAAGTTATGTGGAATACAATTTCATTGAAATCATCAACCAAATTGAATAATGTTGTTTAGTCTGCCTATTTGCAATATCCATTTTCAGGTCAATCCTTGATGATTGGGTAAACTCAGAAAGTTGAAAATGTTGGTCTTCACTTACATACTTGCAGGTATCCAGAAGTCCAGAAACGTCTTCAGGAGGACGTCGACAAAGTAGCGGATCGCAATCGTCTTCCAACCATCGCAGACCAGCCTCATCTTCCATACGTCATGGCTTTCATCTACGAAGTCATGCGATTCACCTCGTTCGTCCCTGTAACGATTCCCCACAGCACGACCACGGACACGTCCATCAACGGTTATCCCATCCCTAAAGATACCATCATTTTTGTCAACCAGTGGTCTTTGAACCACGACCCGACCAAATGGGACCAACCAGAGGTATTCAACCCACAGCGCTTCCTGGATGAGGATGGAGCTCTCAATAAAGACTTAACCACCAACGTGCTGATCTTCTCCGTGGGGAAGCGTAGATGCATTGGAGAAGACCTTTCCAAGATCCAGCTTTTCCTCTTCACCTCCTTGCTGGTCCATCAGTGTAGTTTTATAGCAGAAGCTACTCCCAGCATGGACTATCTGTATGGGCTCACGCTTAAACCCAGATCCTTTAAAGTGTCTGTCACACTCCGTGACACCACAGAACTGCTTGAGAGTTTGGTAGGAACGTCTCAGATTTCTACACAAAAGAGACAGAGACCTCAAGTTTGAAGGGAAATCAAAGCATGCAACTTAAATACTTTGCCAAATGAAGGTGGCTAAGAAAACAAACACTGAAGAATCTCTCATATCTGCATTATAGCAATACATTTATAGACGTAAAACTCAGGCAAAAACTTTTTTTGTTGGCTCAGAATGAGCTACGGCAATAAAAACACACCCATTCATTACTGTAACTACATGATGCACTGATTTATGGTATATTATGCAAGAGTAGCAAAGCAGAAGCTACACAAAAGGACACAGCATGGTTTATTCAGACAAATACTAGTTGGTTTCTAAGAGTACTGAGACATCTACATGCATAGCATTATTCAGTCGAGAAGTTTGTGTTACTAATTCTACTTCTTCTAGCTAGCAGATATACATTTAGACTCAGTTATAGATGATTTGCCCTCATCATGCTTCAATCTTTTAATGCCAACATTTTTTATTAAGTGGTTTAAAGTCAACGTGAAACACTGTTCACAACCCATTTTACTTCCATGACATATTTCCGAATGAAACAAGATATTCGATGAGAAAAAACTGTGGTGCAGTAATTGATTTTATCTATTTGAAACTGACTGGATCATGAAAAATCATTAAGTCATTACATTTTGATCAAAGATTACAGACGAAATAATTAACTTGGACTAATATGCAACACTTAATCAACAATAAATTGGGTTGATTACATTTCATGTTGACTTTAACACATTTACAGTAGGTATTATTTTAAATGACTGCATTGAGCTTAAAGTACGTTTTTTTGTTCAGTTCTTGCTTAGGGTACTTTAGCTCAAATTAGCCTTATGCTGAATTTTTAACCTCCCTATATAGTTCATAAAATCAGATATGTGTACAGTATAATCTTACAGCACTTTATTGTTCTTGAGGAGAACTGGCCCCCCGACTGAGCCTGGTTTCTCCCAAGCCTTTTTTTCTCCATTCTGTCACCGATGGAGTTTTGGTTCCTTGCCGCTGTCGCCTCTGGCTTGCTTAGTTGGGGACACTTAATTTCCAGCGATATCGTTGACTTGATTGCAAAGATACTATTTAATCTGAACTGAGCTGTATGATGACATCACTGAATTCAATGATGAACTGCCTTTAACTGAAAAATGAGTGTTTACTATTGTCACTTTGCATTATTGACACACTATTTTCCTAATTAATGCTGTACAGTTGCTTTGACACAATCTGTATTGTTAAAAGCGCTATATAAATAAAGGTGACTTGACTTGATAATATTTCCCGATTCTTACTACAGCATTGTTGAAGTCTGTGCCTTATTAGAGACTTCTTAGCATTAATCTATAATTAAAATAAACATAGGCGGGTTTAACACAGTTCACTTCCATTGTGTTCCCGCAACATCCTTCCCAATCAAATCTTGTCTGGAGATCCTCACAGTGGGTCAAAGGAAGTCTCCAGTGAAACTATTCTGAACATCTATGTTTATTATAAGTTGAATGTGATATTTCCTATCTGGCACATGATGTTGTGTAGGCGAAAGGAAATACATTTTGTGTCCCTCTGGTCCCTTCTAGTTAGGGGAATCCTGAAGGGGAAATTCAGGGTTTGTTAACTAACATGTAGAAAATGTTACGATTACAAATTTTTGCTCATTTCTAACTGCTGCAATATATTTTTGAACTGTAATAGCGATATTTGATCTGCTGGAATACATTTTTAGACCGTAATAGCACTTGTTAATAGACTGCTGGCCTGTATTAAATCTGCTATATTTTATATGCAAAAGATTGATATGTAAGTTTGATATGTAGTTCCTATTATGTGATACCAACATGTAATATTATATTTTTCTACTTCATATAAGCTCTGACATTTGGCTGCTCTGTGAATTCTAAACTGCATTCAGTTTACAATTTTTGTAATTAAATTTAGTGGCTTATATAATATATATAATATTTAATATATAATAATATATACGTGACGTAATGACGCAGTGCCATGCTCGAATTTCCCGCGAAAACCTGCCCGTACCACTCAAATTAGAAAACGTTATTATAAGCTGACCGTTGTGAATCGGGCTAAAGTAAGGCGATAGTTTTGAACATTGGCTGGTTATGTACTTGCTCAAATATTTATTTCGGATCATTTTTAACCAAAAAAACTTACGGACTGCAGCTTTAACAGTTCTCAGAAATCATGTTATTTTTATTGTGCATTCTAATTAATCTCAATCAAACTGCAGTTGGGTTATTTTGACTAAGTTAAAAAATAACTAAAAAAACAGCTAACACACACAATAAAAACATGATAACATTATAAAAAACAGGATTTTTGAAAATGAAAAAAACGGAGTTATCTGTTTTTGCAAATAAACTCTTCATATATATATATGTGTGTGTGTGTGTGTGTGTGTGTGTGTGTGTGTGTAGTGTATGTATACATATATGTACATATATATATATATATATACACACACACACAGTTGTGCTCATAATATATATACATATACATATATATATATATATATATATATATATAAACACTAAATAAATGTATAAGTAAAAAAATATATCATTACTCCAGCTTTTATGATAATAAATGCAGTATAATATTGCAGTCACTTGTAATCAAATTAGTTTTGGCAGTGTTTTCATCCTCCTGCAACACCTAGACACAATGTGATTATGTAAAACAAAACTTCTCATTTGTTGTATTCAAACAGGTTGCCCTTAAAATGGTGGCAAGTAAAAATAACCATTCTAAATTTATTGCACACATTATATCTGCACGCAGCCACTCAATTGGGCATTTTAAATAGAAGGAAAGTGTGTAGGATATACCCGTCCCTGCGAAGTGCTTTATCTTGCTTTCCCAGGACATCCTGATCTGATCAAGCCTGAGGATTGTAGCCAGCCGAGCTCTGAGTGCGTGACAAGTCCAGATAAAGCCAACTGATTACTGATACGCCAGCAGCCGCCTGCTCCCCTTCCAGGCCCTGCTGAAGAAAAGAAAACACGCTTCACTATTGTTGGATTAACGGTACACTCTCTGAAAAAAAGCTATAAAGCTGTCACTGGGATTGCACCCCAAGATACAAATGTTAAAAGGTATGTTTGCACCTTATTTAACTCTAAATAGTACCAATTAATACCTTGTGAAAGTATACCACCCCAGTGACAGGTTTGTGTACCTTTTTTCTAAAATTGTACGATTGTCGCAGAAATTTTTTCACCAAGGAGATGAGGGAGTCACTGCATCCTTAAAAAAAGCCAGATGACAAAATAATCAGCAGTAATAAAAACTATGTAATGAAATATGTAATGCTTAAATCACTTGGCTTTCTTGATGTGACACTAAGTTTTCTTTTTCAGTAATTGTCATGTTTGGGGTCAATTTTTTTCCGTCTTAATTTAAGTTCTGAATGCCATTCCCATTCATCAAATAATTCATTAAAAAAATGATCAGTTTTCATAAAATATTAATCAGCAATTCAACATGTTCAACATTGATAAAAAATATTCTAAATCAGGTTTTATTGTTATATTTTCAGTTTTCTTTTTAATTTTAGTTTCCTTTTTAGTTATTTTGTTGTGTTTTTGCCATTTGAATTATTACTTTTTAATATTACTATTTTTAATTATTTTGATTTAAGTTTTAGTTTCATCTCAAGTTTTATTTTTTATTTATTGGAAATAAATTAAGGAAACACTGGAAATAAAAATAATTGCATAAATTGCTAAGGCAATATTTATTTATATTGCTTGCTATGCTTTCAGTTCTACAAGTCTTCATTAAGATCAAATCTAGAAGAGACCTCCAGGAATCCAGGTCATGTCCTGCGGGCATTATTTCTGTGCTGTATGAGAGAACAGACTTGCATACATTAGGTAATGAGACACTATAAGATGGTTTTCAGTTCTTGAGGATGAACAGTTGTCCTGTTATAAGATACTTCCACACACAGAGGTGTAAAATGTACAGAGAAATTACAATGAAATTAAATTAAAGTAAGGATACCATATGAACCTTTACCCTCTTTATCTGTGCTGTGATGACAAATTATGCCTCTTCGACAAACCTCTTTCTACCTTTCAAAAGTCTGGGGTCTGTATGTTTTGCATACTTTTATTCAGCAAGGATGCATTCAATAAATTAAACCGACTTTAAAGACATGTATCATGTTACAAAAAAAATCATATTTCAAATAAATGCTGTTCTTGTGAACTTTGTATTGATCAAATAATCCTGAAAAAAAAAATGTATCACAGTTACAACTATTTTGAACATTGATAATAAGAATTATTTCGTGAGTAGCAAATCAGCAGATTAGATTGATTTCTGAAGGATCATGAAATAACCATCAAACACAGTTTCCTAATACTAAATATTACTATTATTTATATAAAATATTATTTATTGAACAATATTTAATAAACAACAACAGCCATCATAAAAGTTGCTAGGCAATTCAGTCAAAAGTACAAAGGCAGCGCTCTGATATACAGCATTGAAGTTACATAAACATGATGAGATATTGCCAAAACTATTTGTTCTGGACCAAATAATAGATTAATGAGACCAATGACTGCCTGTTAGATTTACTCAAAACTAAATATATCTCATGTTTAGCCACTATAGAGACATCAGAGCCAGAGGTAAATTCCAGAAGATCTGGCCGAGGTGAGGCTGCTCTCGGTGGGTTCATGATCGCTGAACGGCCGCTGACACCCGGGAGCTCACATCTCCGAAAACGTCGAAGCAAATTTTCAAATAGATGTTATCTTTATTAACAAACCGCGTATTTGAAGTCCAAACAAGTACATTCTCGACTAAAAAACTCTTAAAACTATATTGACACAGAAAAACAGTATTATTCTTAAATTATAGTGGATTTGACACTCACTTTGAGAAATACGGCAAGCGGAGTGATACATGATACAAACGGTAAAGTGGTTGGAGGCAAGTATACCCGGCTGCAGCCTGCAAAATGGGGCAGGGCTGCACCTGGGGCAGAGCTACATGCATCACCCCACCCACAAATGGGTTAATTGGCTTATGACAAGTAATGAGCTCTGTTATCACTCTAACATCGCACTCTTATCAGCCAATCAGATTCGAGGACCAGACAGAACTGTTGTATAATTGTAAACATCATACTTTTTTTCACTTATTTTTAGTTAATGTCATTAAACTAGCGAGCTAATCCAGTAGCAGTCACGTAAACATGGCTGAAGATGCGAAAAGCGAGGAACAGATAAACCGATTCAACTGATTGAGTCATTTATGCAATCTCCAAGTAAGACAATCTCTGGATACAAATGGCGAAACGGTTATTACTAGAATATCACACCTCTGGAAAAGGCTCTCAGCCAATCAGAAATGAAGGAACAGAAAAAAAACTGTTTTATAAATTGCAATAATATTTTTGCAATATTACTGATTTGCTTTATTTTTGATCAAATAAATGGAGCCTTAGCGGGCATAAGAGACTTCTTTCAAAAACATAAAAAAATCTTACTGACCCCAAACTTTTGAACAGTAGTGTTAATATAACTGCAAAAAGTAAGAAACGATAATAACGAAACTAATAACCAAAAAGCATTATGAATAAATGTAGACCACCTCAGGTACCTTTGGTTACATGATGTCAATCCACATAAAACATGTCGGTACAGAAGAGTCTCTGATCGGAAGCTGTTTGCTGCTGAAGACATGCTGTGGTTCTGATGTAAGGAAAGGCAGATGTCCAGACATGTAAAGGTTATTTCTGTTATGGGTGTTAAGTCCATATGAGTGCCCTGTAATATCATTGCTTGACACCTGAAAATCAGCCCTTCCATGTCTTCCTTGAATTCCCTATATGGTTGGCTTCTTTCTGGACAAGAGTATACAGGCATATTACTGACTGAAAACTATCGGACCTACATTTATGAAGTTAAAAGTGAAGTGTATAAATTCTATGCCACTAAACAGAATTGCGTAAATAAAAATAGTAGTAGACTACAGTGCCACTAAAGCTGCAGAAATAAGGACTTCGCTTTTAACACTGAAAGAAAGAAACATGAAACAGTTAGCAATTATGCCTCACCTATAGCATAAAAAAAATGATCTATGATCAACGTACAACACACAGACGGAATTCACCTTATTGTATATTGTATTGAGCAGCAGAGATGAAGTGATGATCTTCATATGCACCATTACAATCTCAGTAATCACCAATAATCTAAAAGGTAGCATACAGAGAGCAAGTGCCATCATGTCAACATAAAAATGCTTACATTCATAATGCTGGATACCAACAAATGATATTAAAACAATTTTAGCAATACCATGAGGGAAAAAATTACATTAGACTTGCATGTTCCCCATAGTTTCTCTGGGATTTAGAAATCATCTTTGGTCAAAAAATAATTTCTAGGGATTAAAATCTACACAAGTCATTTGAGTTATTAAATTGAACTACAAAAATATAACAGTCCACGGAGAGAATGTGATTAACAAGATTAAATCCAGATGAAGTTGTTCAGGTGTTCTTAATAAAAATGGCAAAAGACTGCATTTCGGGTGGATCGTGCTATGAAAGGTTAAACATTTTTGACAGGTTTTCATTTTTGCAATTTCATATCAGCAGCTTTTTTGGAAGAACTTACCATTAAATGTGCCAAAGTTCTTCTAAAGGTTTGTTTCAGACACTTTTCAGGAGGTTTATAGGTTTATAGTCATACTGTGTTGTAAGTTATGTCTATGAAATAATCATTAATAATTTTGGATTAACAAAAACAAATAAATTCTAATTAGAAAGTACCATAAACATGCCCCTAAAAGGCACACAAAAACAAATGGAACTGTCAACGCATGCTTTTAATGCCAACCGGACTGATCTTTCTTGCTTCAGTATTGGTCAGAATTAGTCACAATTGCACCAGACTTCATGCTAATAGTCAGATTTACTAGAGAGTAGATGAGTTTGTTCTTTATCAGATTTTGAGAAATTATAGCATTAGATGACCTGCTCACCAAAGGATCCTTTGCAGTGAATGGGCGCCGTCAGAATGTATGTCTTATGAAGTGAAAAGCTGCATGTTGGTAAGTAACAAATCCATCAAGACGTTTTTAACTTCAAACTGTCATTTATTGCTAAAATAATAGTCCTCTATCCGTAATATTGCTTTTTCCAATGAAAAAGTAATCTCATCTGAATCAGGAGAGAACAGTGCGTGTACTTTGATTTGAGAGGACAACAGGGGATGGACTTTTTCACTGGAGGAAGCGTTATTTTGAATGATACTCAAAATGATGGTACAGTTAAAGTGTCTTGATGGATTTGTTTCTTACAAACTTGCAGTTTTTGACTGATGGACTGGAATAGTGTTGTTTACTTGTTGATTATTGTGATGTTTTTATCAGCTGTTTGGACTCATTCTGACGGCACCCATTCACTGCAGAGGATCCACTGGTGAGCAAGTGATGTAATGCTAAATTTATCCAAATCTGTTTTTAAATGAAGAAACAAACTCATCTACATCTTGGATGCCCCAAGGGCGAGTAGATTTTCAGCAAAATTTCATTTTTGAGTGTAATTCATTCTAAATTAATTTCAACAGCAACCACTGATGGTCACTGTGGTTTCAATAGGTGACAGCCACGCTGTGTATTGCAACTATTATGATGTCTAAAATGTTCTGTGGGGGGAAAAAAAAGAGACAAAAAAATTAAATAGAAACTGTCCTGCAAAACACATACAGTATTTTGTGCATAAACTAAAAATAAACAATATATTGCTGCTGGTCTCCCCTTTTTTAGAGGAATAACGTGGCCTGGCCAACATTAGTAGCTCATATGTTGGTTTGTGGGTAAACGGCTACAGTCCAGTCACAGTCGAGTTCAAAGAGACAGAACACAAAGACAGACAGCTTTTGTAGGAGACTTGTTAAAGTGATGCAACAAAAGAGTCCAATTCCTTCTGTGCCTCCTCATCCTTTAAAGAAAACACACACACAAACAAAGAATTACAAAGGCAAGAGACTCAAAACTACAAAAAAAATCTGATTCATCAGAATAAGAAAACACCTCTTTAGTCTGAATGTTCATTGCAGAGGCAGCGTCACACATCTGTTGGGCTTGACTCCTTTGACCCAAGTCTTTGTAACACTGACAAGAGAAAAGTGATATAGGCGCAGTTACAGTAACACATTACAATGTTCTCAATGTTCCTTAAAGGCTTTACTGGCTCAGTTTCAAAATCTAGTGCAGTGCCCAAGTAGACAGTAGAAGTGTGTTGCATACTTATGTAAGATTTAAAAAAAATGCATTCACTGAAGTTGGTGGAAGACATTAGAGAAATGTCAATTACATACAGTACGACCATTCAAAAGTTAAGATTTTTCAACGTTTTTTGAAAGAAGTCTCTTAATCTCACCAATGCTACATTAATTTGATAAAAATACACTAAAACAGTGATCATTTTAAATATTATTACGATTTAACTGCTTTCTATTTGAATATATTTTAAATTGTTTTTTAATGTTGAAAACAGCTGTGCGCCTTGTGGGAACCATGAAACATTTCCACAAGCTTTTACAAGATTCTATGATGAATAAAAGTTGAAATGTGCCCTTAATGCATCCTTGCTGAAAAAAATTATTTCCAGTAAATAAATAAAATAAAATAATTACTGACCCCAAATTTTTTAACTGCAGTGTGATTAAAAATAATGAGATAAAAATAGTATTTAGCAAACATTAGCTGAGCGTGCCTGCAAAAATACAGCAACATTTATTATCCCACTTCTGTAAACTTTAAATGTGGATTTGACATGTTATTAAAATGTAACCATTACAAATAATTTGGGAGATTTCAGTTTTTTTTAAGTACATAGCAGGTAACACTTAATTATTAATATTTGTTAAAGGGGTCATATGATGCGATTTCAATTTTTCCTTTCTCTTTGGAGTGTTACAAGCTCTTGGTGCAGGCTTGTTGTTTGTTGTTTCTCCGATCACAAATGCAGACATTGTTTTATGTTTACGCAGCGCGATACGCAACGCGTAAAAAGACAGTATAAGTCATTATAATCCGTAATTATGTCCCCACAATGTTTTTTTTAATGTTTTTGTCTAGTCGCTCCGGCCGGACAGGGCATCACAGTATGGTAAAGGCATAACATTTCCGTCACACGCTTGAGGTATTGGGCCAATCACAACGCACTGGATAGCTGGCCAATCAGAGCACACCTCCCTTTTCAGAATGATGAGCTTTGTTAGAATTGACATGTTTCAGAAAGAAGAGCAACAATAATGTACTGTATATGGAAAATAACATATTTTCTTAACCTTAAACCGCATAAACACATTGCATTACACCAAATACACAAAATAATGTTCTTTTTAGCAACATCAATATACTTAATATAGTATTAAAGACCCCTTTAATATACTTAATTCAGTTATGCTCAGCAAGACTGGATTTATTTGATAAAAAATACAGGAAATACTGTGAAATATTATTACAATTTAAAATAACTGGTGAAACATTTCATATTATTACCAATGTTGATAAAGGTATTTGCAGTTTAATATTTTTTTTTGTGAAAGCCATGATACTTTTTTCAGGATCCTTTGATGAATAGAACATCTAAAAAAAAAAAAGGTATTTATTTGAAATCACTTTTTTTGTTACAGGTAGAACATTCTATATTGGTTAATATTTTATATAGTTAGGATGCTGCTTTGGAAGGTAGCTGTCTATGTAGGTGGTTTTCAGCAAGGCAGCTCACTAGGTTTGGAACAGAGCCAACAAAATTCCCAATGTCATTATTAATCGATATTCAGTTCATTAATAAAATAGTCAAGACCTGAAGTCATTACCTTGGCTAAAAACACATAGTTGAATTTTGAATACTTGGGACTGATCTCTTCTACCTGTAGAATCAAACACAGGACAAACATAGCAAATGCAATCTGTCATTCACAGTCAAACTGAAATTATTTATTGACTATAAATATTGATTGTCTAAACACAGACTGTTTATGTAACAGATCTTTTGCATTTCAGTGAAGTGAAAGTGAAAAAGTGAAGTGACATGTGGTATGAGTCCGACTCTCTAACCATTAGGCCACGACTTCCCCCATTTCAGGTGTAGTTAATTAAATGAGATCATGAAAAACACATCTCTCTTGAAAGAAGGACTGCACTGCTGGCAGGCAAACGTCTAGGGTACATTTTCAAACACTTCGCGTGTTAAATGAGATATTAAAAAATTAACATTGCAGGCAGTAAACCTCCACTCTATAATCAGAGCAATAAATAACACTGTCGACATTTACGAGACTTACACAATCACACAAAATATAAACACTGCAGTAGCCACATATATGAGGTTATGTTTTCGACAAAGTAAACTACAGGGTTCCTACACCTTTTGATAAACAGATTTTTAATGACATTTACATAATTTTTCAGCTATTTATGATTATTGGATGAGGATTTTACAAAGAAAACCCTAGGGTTTTTTCCTCAAATTTCTAGGTTTTCCATAGTTTTCTTTAGATTTAAATTCTTTTTTTTTTTTTAAAGTCTTTCTTTAGTTTTAACATCTTACCCACTATAGCAAAAACAAATAAATAAATAAATAACTTGTATTTTAAATTGCACATCTAATATTTGATATGGCTTCTGGGGTTCCTCTTGGGTGAAAGAAAAACAAAATATTAAAACACATTTTCTTAAAATCAACAAAATCCTGCCGTTGCAAACAAAAACCAAGAGCTAAATATAATTTTTGGAACAACTCTATTATTCATGACAGCACATTTGGTGGTTAGATTTGAGATAAATTACACTGCCAAAAGTATGCAGCCAAAAATCATACACTTATACTACCATTCAGAAGTTTGGGGTTGGTAAGATGTTTTTGGGGAAAAAAGGGTTATTTGTTTTATTTTTTTATACTCACTAAAGCTGGATTTATTTGCTTAAAATACATTAAAAACAGTAAAATTGTGAAACAGTATTACAATTTAAATTAACCACTTTTCTTTTAATATATTAAACATAAAATGCCTTTTATTTATCAATGTTAAACAGTATACTATGATGAATAGAAAGCTCAAAAGCATTTATTTGAATTTGTTTATTTATCAGAATTTTGCAAATGCAAATGTCTTTGCATTTGATGGAAATGTCTTTGACCCATTTAATGCATCATTGCTGAATAAAATCATTAATTTCTAAAAAAAAAAATAATAATAATAATAAAAAATAGTTTTTGAACTGTAGTGTATGTGCACATTTCAATTTAAAACCAAATGCATTTCCAGCTTTCACTCTTTTATGAAAGATTTCCACTAGATGACATTTCTGCATGAACCTCACTTTGTAAATTATAATGCAGTACCATGTATGTTACATTCAACTAAAAAAGCCTAAGGAGATCGTGGCTGTACTGATGCTTGATTTTATGCACCTACTGTACTAGTAATAGGTGTAGCTGCAACATTACTGTGAAGGGGATTTCCACATACTTTTGGCCATGTAGCATGTAAAGCTGGATTCTGTATGAAGGTGGATCACTCAGTAAGTGAATGAAGAGACAATACATTATTTGGTCATAAGCTGTTGGTATATTTCTGTTTTTTTGCACAAAATTAGACTATTTATGATTAATGACGAAGAGCAACTCCCCATGTCTTTCCTTTAATCAGTCGTGCTGTTGTATAACTCTCCAGAATGTTGTGTTGTCTTGGCAGGGTGCAACAAGTCTAAGCACAGACCCCTTAAATAAGAAGTGATGGCTGAGATACAAAGGACAGGAGAACATCAGAGGAGAGAGCAACTTATGTAAAAACACTGAATGTAGGAACACAGGTCAAGCGCTTTCAGAAATGAACAGGGAAATTAACCTCTAAGACAAATCCCTCTACAGCAAGACATAAAAAAATGTCTACCTACAAATTGATGGAAATTTAACAAATAAGCCAAATAAAAATAGGTCATATTTGCTATAAAACCGATTTTAATCTTAAATAACTCATTTTATGATTATAGTCAAAATTTGTTATTTGGTAGCTCTTATCAGCTACCCAAATATTCATTACAAACTTCATATATTTATTCAACTGCTTGGCCTCTAAATAAAGAGGCTCTTTACACAATCAATCACTAGTGTGTCCCAATGATCAAAGGCACGTCTCACCTTGAGAAAGTTCTGCAGGGCATCCTGGACTGTGGCACTGGGTGGCTCTCCAAACAAAGTAGCAGCGATTTTCCTCTCTATCCACGTACATTGTGACACCTGCACACAACATGTTTATGGACAAAGTAAAAAAGAACAAGAACTCCACTTATCAACAAGAGAAATAAATTACAATAATTGTTATCAACAATAAATAAATTAATTAATTAATTAATTAATACAAACAATTTATATTAAAATCATTAAGAAACACATTCAATATATATTCACTGAAAACAAGTCAATTTACTTGAAAATCTAGATTGCATGAGAAAATTAATTTTTGCAAAAAAAAATTACTGAAATAAAAAATGATTTTTTTTGCAGCACTCAGTCAGTCAGAATACAGCAGTCTTTAAACATTTTTGACCAATGAGTTTTCCAAGCCCCAAATTTTATTTATTTATTGTTTATTTTCATCATTACACAGAATGCACTCACTGTAAATATGTATGCTATTGTTCAAAAGTTTGGGGTCAGTAAGAATTCTTTTTTAAAAAGAAATCAGTACTTTGATTTACTAAGGATACATCAAAATTATTATTATTTTTTTTTTGTTTAGAAAAATTTAAAATAATGCTGTTCTTTGAATTTTCTATTCACTAAAGAATCCTGAAAACACACACACAAACAAAGACACAATTTCCACAAAAATATTAAGAAGCGTTCAACATACAGCAAATTAGAATGATTTCTGAATAATTTTGTGTGATACTGTAGACTGGAGTAATGCTTTAATATCCCATCAATAAATTACAACTTTTAAATTATGCTGAAATTGAAAGCAGTTCTTTTAAATTATAATAATATTTCTGTTTTTACTAGACTTATGATTAAATAAATGCAGTCTTGGTGAGCATAAGAGAGACTTTTTTCAAAAACATTAAAAATCTTTTCAACCTCAAACTTTTGAATGGTAGTGTATATTATTCATTATAGAAATGTATATTACATTTTTTTTTTTAATAAAGTTTGGCCTTTCAGACTTTGAAACAAAGAAAAAATAAATTTCTTTGATATTTCCAAGCTTTCCATTAGCGTGGGAACCCTGATTCAGGCTTTAACTATAACACAATGTCATGAATATCCCAAACACACTAATAGCAAACGCTCTGTCACTCACAGCATAACACCAGCGGCCCAGCAAGTAATATGACAGAGGATCTTCAGGTTTCAGCTCAATTGCTTTATCCAGATGATCCTTGAGACATAGAGCAAGAGAAAGGAAGAGAGATAGAGGTTTCTTTCTATGTGGCACGACTTGTCTTTTTTGCTGATCTCTACAGCTGAGATACCGCAAATACTTCTCCTGAACTCGCACGAACACAGAAAAACCCACCACAGGCATCTGTCATTCAGCTCCTCTCTCTCTCTCTGCTAGCTCACCTGCCAGGGCTGTGCAGGTGTGTGGTGTTTGGAAATCTAGCTGACAGCTAACATAAAATGCTACGTGTATCAGAGACTGATCTGCTCTTATGAAATACGTGTGTGTGTGTGTGTGTGTGTGTGTGTGTGTGCGCGCACGCGTGTGGTACCCTCATTCCATTTCCTCTCGTCTCAGATAAGATTATAAACACTAACTCTCACAGAAGCTGATGCTATGCTCCCATCAACACATACAAGCAATGAAATCAACTGAAACGACCTTTTGGCTGAGATCACCATATCATTTACTGCCCTTTAACTCTTCTCTACATGAAGCACAGGAATAAATGTGTAAATAATTAAAAGTGGAAGTAACTACTTCCATATGTTGACATCAGCCTAGCGGTAAACAGTCCATCTGAACTGCTCAAATATTCTGCTGTCTGTATTTAAGCTTTAAA